CGCATACACATGTATATTTTAAAAGCACTTTTCATGTAGAGAGTCGTTGGCGGATCTGCAGCTAGAGGAATTGACATTGGCACCAACAATTTGTTGCATGTAGGCAACCCGGAGACACATATACACATACTCCTTCGGTGTGCATCTGATCGGGCAGCAGCGAGTAGGGGAGGAGGAACTAGGGACCCTGTGGGGTTTGAGCAGCGGTGGTCCGTTATATTTGCGCGCGCATCGGGCACTGGATATGTGCCATTGTGATCGCGCTGATGCCGTCCTAGTGCGCAGGCGCGAGATGGTCTGCGCATGCGCTTCCACTGCCACGCCACAGCGGCGTGCGTTCCACGAACGACTCCATCTATAGCCGCATCATGTGGGCAAGTTCTCCCTCTGCTGCTGAACAATCAATACACACCAACAATACAGGTAATGCGGATTCGTTTTGAACTTACTACGTCCCCCTCACCATCTTTAGATGCTATTCCTTTGCTGGATTATATGAATATAATTTCTCCTCCTACAAGTTATGTTCAATCATCATATATATATATTTTCAAAGCAACACTGTCACTATTGATCTCACCAGGTGTAGCAAAACACTTTGGCTGCATTGTCCTCTTTGTGATAACAATTGTGAAATCACTGGCCAGGAATGAGTCATCCAACTGCGAGAGGTCCTCTCTCTCTTTTTCTATATTTCATTTATTTCATGCACTTGACCGTCAGTGCAATGACAATAATAATAATGATGAAATATTTGCAACTAGTTAATTAATGAATTTTTGGAATCTTATAACTTTTATTAGTGCATTCACAAACTGCATTTATTTATGAATGAAAAATTTTTTAGTATTTTTTTAGCACTATTTGTTTCCCTTTGTGTATATATATTGTGTTTTTATATGGTTCTATGTAAAATTTGATGATCATGTATTGCAATTGATTGACACCCAGGCCCCTCCTCCCTGCCCATGACAGCCCAACCCTTAGGGGAGGGCCCTATTTCAGTCTGGAGGCATAAATGGGAACACACACTCTCAGTCCAGTCAGCTCTGAGGAAGAAGGCACGTCCTTCGAAACGCGTCAGCTGTACTGAGTGGCTTCCTCCATGACGGGATTCGCATTGGCATCTTGCCTCTAAAGTCCCCTTGAGGACTTACATGCTTGTTTTTATTCGCTGTTTGTGAGTACCATTCTTTTATTCAATAAATTTTTGGTTACTGAGGTACTGCGCAAGGTTGGTGCGCTTCTCTTTTGTTGTTCTCATCCACCTAAACTGACAGGCCGGGCAAGGAGAGCATTCATCAGAGAAGAAACTAAGAAGCCCATGGGAACTGTGGAGGAGCTGCAGAGATCCACAGATCAGGTGGGAGAATATGTCCACAGGACGACTATTAGTCGTGCTCATCAAATCTGGCCTTTATGGAAGAGTGGCAAGAATAAGCCATTGTTGGAGGAAAGCCATAAGAAGTTTTGAGAAGCCATGTGGGGGACACAGCAAATGTGGAAGAAGGGGCTCTGGTCAGATGAGACCAAAATTGAACTTTTTGGCCTAAAAGCAAAACGCTATGTGTGGCGGAACACTAACACTGCACATCACCCTGAACACACCATCCCCACTGTGAAGCATGGTGGTGGCAGCATCATGTTGTGAGGATGCTTTTTCTTCAGCAGGGACAGGGAAGCTGGTCAGAGTTGATGGGAAGATGGATGGAGCCAAATACAGGGCAATCTTAGAAGGAAACCTGTTAGAGTCTGCAAAAGGCTCCCCTTCCAGCAGGACAACGACCCGAATCATCCAGCCAGAGCTACAATGGAATGGTTTAGATCAAAGCATCTTCATGTGTTAGAATGGCCCAGTCACAGTCCAGACCGAAGTCCAATGGAGAATCTGTGGCAAGACTTGAAAATTACTGTTCCCAGACGCTCTCCATCGAATCTCACAGAGCTTGAGTGATTCTGCAAAGAAGAATGGGCAGAAATGTCCCTCTCTAGATGTGCAAAGAGACATCCCCAAAAAGACTTGCAGCTGGAATTGCAGCCAAAGGGGGTCCTACAAAGTATTGACTCCGGGGGGCTGAATACAAATGCCGCCACACTTTTCACAGATTTGTAAAAAATTTTGAAAACCATTCCTCATTTTCCATCCACTTCACAATTATGTGCCACTTTGTGTCGGTCCATCACATCCAATCCCAATAAAATACATTGATGGTTTTGGTTGTAACATGACAAAATGTGAAAAATTTCAAGGGGTATGAATAATTTTTCAAGGAACTGTATATACAGTTGTGTTCAAAATAATAGCAGTGTGTTGAAAAAAGTAAATAAAGCTCAGAATCCTTCTAATGGCTTTTATTTCCATCCACACAAATGCATTGGGAACACGACACATTCTATTCCAAATCACAACATGAAGAAAAATAGATCAAATTTGTGTTGTTCCTCTAAAAAAAGTGAAGAAAAGTGAATATTAGACGGTTCAAAAAAATCGCAGTGTTTGTATTCTTCTTTACAAACTCAAACATTCACTATATAAACTGAAAAATGTTTGAAGATTTTGCTTTCCTTTGAATGACTTCATGAATATTTGGTTGTAGTCGCACTGTTTCTGAGAACTGCTGTACATCTGTGTTGCATGGAGTCACCCAACTTCTGGCCCCTGTGATCAGGTATTCCAGCCCAGGATGATTGGACCACATTCCACAGTTCTTCTCTATTTCTTGGTTTTGCCTCAGAAACGGCATTTTTGATGTCACCCCACAAGTTTTCTATTGGATGAAGATCCGGGGATTGGGCTGGCCACTCCATAACGTCCATCTTGTTGGTCTGGAACCAAGGTGTTGCACGTTTACTGGTGTGTTTTGGGGTCGTTGTCTTGTTGGAACACCCATTTCAAGGGCATTTCCTCTTCAGCATAAGGCAGCATGACCTCTTCAAGTATTCTGATGGATTCAAACTGATCCATGATCCCTGGTATGCGATAAATAGGCCCAACACCGTAGTATAAGAAACATCCCCATATCATGATGCTTGCACCACCATGCTTCACTGTCTTCACAGTGTACTGTGGCTTGAATTCAGTGTTTGGGGGTCGTCTGACAAACTGTCTCCGCCCACTAGACCCAAAAAGAACAATCTTACTTTCATCAGTCCACAAAATGTTGCGCCATTTCTCTTTAGGCCAGTCAATGTGCTCTTTGGCAGATTGTAACCTCTTCAGCACACGTCTTTTCCCAACAGTGGGACTTTGCGGGGGCTTCTTGCAGATAGCTTGGCTTCACATAGGCGTCTTCTAATTGTAACAGTCCTCACAGGGAACGTCACACCTTCTTTCATCTTCCTGGAGCTGATTGTTGGCTGAGTCCCTCGCCATTTTGGCTATTCTGTTATCCATTCCAATGGTAGTTTTTCGCTTTTCTTCCACGTCTTTCAGGTTTTGGTTGCCATTTTAAAGCATTTGCGATCATTTTAGCTGAGCAGCCAATCATTTTCTGCACTTCTTTATATATTTTCCCCTCTCCAATCAACTTTTTAATCAAGGTACGCTGTTCTTCTGAACAATGTTTGGAACGACCCATTTTCCTCAGAATTTCAGAGAGAAATGCACTGTAACCAGCATGTCCAACATTTGCTGCCTTCCTTCCTTAAATAAGGGCAATAATTGCCACCTGTTTTTCAAAGAATGATTGACCTCACTAATAGAACTGCACACTGCTATTATTTTGAACACGCCCCTTTCAATGAGTGATTCAATGACACAGAATCAGCAGCATGCATGTCATGACTGTTGGGTCTCTTGGATTTCTATTACTCTACTACACCTGCTAGGAAATTATTTGCCATGTAGAAATATCATTTCCACCAAAAACAGAGATTGATCCGGTTAGTGATGTCTGACTGCTATTATTTTGAACACAACTGTACACTGTGTGCACAATTATTAGGCAAATGAGTTTTTTGACCAAATCGTCCTTTTTAATGCATGTTGTCCAACCCCAAGCTGTATAAACTTGAATGCTTATTGGATTTGGGGTTCTGGTATGGGATGTTATTACAGTAATAATTCCAGCCCAATACCAGAACTCCACCTCCACCTTGCTGGCATCTGAGTCAAAGTGGAGCTCTGTGCCTGTCCCTGATCCAGCCAAGGGCCCATCCGTCTGGTCCATCAAGAGTCACTCTCATCTCATCAGTCCATAAAACCTTTGAAAAATCTGTCTTCAGATATTTCTTAGCCCAGGCTTGATGATCCAACTTCTGTGTCTTGTTCAGTGGTGGTCGGGTTTCAGCCCTCCTTACCTTGGCCATGTCTCTGAGCACTGAACACCTCGTACGTCCGGGCTCTCCAGGTAGGTTGCAGATCTGGAACATGACAGCACTGGAGGATGATGGGTTCCTGATAGCTTCAAGTTTGATTGTTCTCAAACCTTTGGCAACTAATTTGCATCTTTTATTCTCAACACATTTCTTGCGACCCTGTTGACTATTTGCAAAAAAACGTTTGATGGTTCTGTGATCATGTGATCACGCCCCAATATCTGAGCAAGTTCATGAGAGCTGCATCCCTCTGAAGGACCAAACTTCTCTCTTTGTTCCTCCCAAGACCTTCTGCTCTCTAGTTCCCACGTCACCTTCTCCCATGCTCGGCTCCAGGACTTTTCCCGAGCTTCTCCCATCCTTTGGAACTCCCCTACCCCAATCTGTCCGACTATCTCCTAATCTATCCACCTTCAGAAGATCCCTGAAAACCTCTCTCTTTTTTGAAGCCTATCCTGCTTCTAACTGCCTTTTATTTCCTCCATCAGCTCATCCCCCCACAGCTATTACCTTTTGTATCACTCAACCCTTCCTCCTAGATCGTAAGTTCTAATGAGAATGGCCCTCTGTTTCCTCTTGTACCAAATTGTATTGTAACTGCAATGTCCGCCTTCATTTTGTAAAGCGCTGCGCAAACTGTTGGCGCGGTATAAATCCTGTATAATAAAAATAATAATTTTTACCTTTTTCCCCAGCTCATCACAAACATTGTCCAGGATCAGCTTATGATGAGCGAACACCAAGAACTTTTCTCTCCCGCTTTCTAGAAGATCCATGATGTACTCTCTGAAAAGACAAAATGAAAATTGTATAATTGTCACTGAAATCTGTCTTTGTGTCAATAGGGACCAATCAGATCCTAGCTTATTAAACTATTCAGGGACCCCAAGTAGGGCCCACAGCTAATGTGTTCCTTTGGTAATTCAGTAAGCATTCCCCATATCTGATTAGCTGCTAAGGTGATAGCATACCCCTTAGGGCCCCATACTACAGGGCCCCATGTACACTGCAGCTGATAAACTGACGTTTAGGAGCTTCTCCGTTTTTTTTTTTTTTTTTTTTTCAGCAGCCCCTGAACTCTCCCTAATGTTTTCCTATGTGTCCATGTACATATCGTCCTTTACAGTCGTTTACAAGCAGTTGAGTTTACAGTCAGTTTTTTGAACGCACCAAACGCTTGTAAACGCGGCTAACCACATTTATAAGCGTTTGCAACATTTTTTTAACTTTTCCAATTCCAGATGCTGTCCAGAGCCTTTTTTTCATCATGAAAAATGCAACAACCAATGGAGAATAGGAAAGTGCTCAGTCTGACCAGCCTACTTACTAAGGAGATGGGAAAAAGTGCACAAGCAATGCCAGCAGCTCTGGACCTGGAAAATACTCTCCAGATAATATAACCAGAATCTTTTTGGAAAGCACCCCATGTGGAACCCAGCATCCAAAGGTCACTTCCAGACTAGCCCCCCGCAACATCCAGTTCAGTGGGGTCCTGTTGCGGTACAGTCCAAAAGCCAGAAAGGAGGGGAAACCTCCAGCAGGGATGTTGGGGAGTCTTGATTGAAGAACACATTAAAGATAAAAAAAAAATAAAAATCCTAAAAACAAAACACAGGTTACGCTTTACAATAGTATACTCCTAGGACACTAGCGGAAAAATAAAAACTGGTACTGGTAGTAGGAGGGGTTAAGCTCTGGGCTGGAATACTGTAGGCCCTCAATGGACCCAAACTGGCTCCTGTATCTGGTGAAGTAAAGTCACTTGAAAGGATCGAAGAGCTGCTATAGGCAACACAAACACTTGTTTTTTTTTTAATCTTCTATAGCAGTGGTTCTCAACCTGGGGGACGCGACCCCTTTGGGGGTCGAATGACCCTTTCACAGGGGTTGCCTAAGACCATCGGGAAAACACATATTTCTGATGTGTAATGAGCAGCTACTGTGTAGAAAGCAGCTACTGTGTTGAAAGCAGCTACTGTGTAGAAAGCAGCTACTGTGTTGAAAGCAGCTACTGTGTTGAAAGCAGCTACTGTGTTGAAAGCAGCAGTATTGGAGGTAAAACGACACTCATGAATTATAATTACTTAGTAAATAATTTTATGGTTGGGGGGTCACCACAACATGAGGAACTGTATTAAAGGGTCGCGGCATTAGGAAGGTTGAGAACCACTGCTCTGTAGGGTGATCTCAGCATGAAACAGCCAGCAGGGGGGTAGTAAACATTTTCATCACCTTTTGCAAACCAGTTTGGATGTTTAGAAATTTTATGTTCAATTCACGAAGCTGAAAATAGTTCTAAAGGCAGAAGGCTTTTTACCTGAATGCATTCTATCCATTAAAGCGAAATTCCACCTAAAAGGGGAAGTTGCACTTTAAAGATTGGTCCCCTGCTCCCCATTAAGGATTGGCACCTTTGGGGAGCGGGGAGGGATAGGCACCCGAATTTGACAGGTACCCACTTCTGCTGCAATCACCTAGGCGATCGGAAATGGAAGTTGTCCTCCTACCCTCCCTCCCCGAAGTCTTGTGGGACACGTGACAGGTCCCAGAAGACGACGGGGCCATTCAGGAAGCGCAGCGCTACATGCGCATGCACAGTGGGCACCCGGCTGTGAAACCGCAAGCTGTCACAGCCGGGTGCCCACACTGAAGATGCCGGCCTACTGGAAGACAGGACGGCCGGTGAAACGGGCTGCGGGGAGGGGGAGGGGCAACGTGGGACAGGTGAGTGGCTGTTTTTTAAAAGTCAGCAGCTGCAGTTTTTGGAGCTGCTGACTTTTTTATTTTTTTACAAAATGAGTGGAACTCCGCTTTAAGGTAAAAAATGTGGATACGGTTCCCCCCCTCATTTCCCCCCCACCCCATACTCACCCATCATGCTCCAGTGATATGCATGAGAGCCACGTCTCTCCCTCCTCACTGGCTCACACAGCAGAAGGAGCCATTGGCTCCTGCTGATGTCAATCACACTGAGTCGAAGAGGAGAAAGTGGGGGGAGGGGCTGAGCCACGTTCTGCCTGTGAATGGACGATGTCCATTCACAGGAGCGTGGTTTGGCGGCAAGCCTGCTCAAGTGCCCCTTATAGCAAGAGACTTGCTATTGGGGGCATTCAGCTAGTAGGAGGAGCCAGAACCACCAGCTGGGGGACCCGAAAAGAAGAGGATCGGGGCTGCTCTGTGCAAAACCATTACACAGAGCAGGTAAGTATAACATGTTTGTTATAAAAAAAACAAAATAAAATTCCAAACTTTAGAATCACTTGAATTTATAACCACAGCCACCTATGTGCGGGCCGACTGTGCAACGCGCTGGCGACATTACTCACATGACACAGCGGATTTTGGCTTCTGCAGTTCTGTTGTAGAATAGGAGGAGGGCTTCTTTCTCTTGTACTTTCTGTAGGAGATAAAAGAAGTAGAAAAAGTCAAAAGTGTTATTTTTTTGTTAATTAAATGTACAGTATGCAGAACATGAAAGCTCCACTCCACCTCCGCTCCACCTCCACTCACACTGCCTGCGTTTGGGGACACGCACCCACATGGATGCCAAACTGGGAGCAGTGAGTCCATGCAGCTGCTGCGTTCCAACCGACGTGAATGCGGAGAACACCTTTGTATCCCGTGTGGGCAAACACGGCCTCCACCTGGGTGTATGCAAAGCATGCCTGTGTGACTGAGGCCTTAAAAAGTCTATCTCCGGCCAAAGCTTTTCATCCTCAGTTTTAGATACAGTGGGAAAGGCTTAGAGCCGCTGTCAGTTCTTTTGCTTAATGTGTCACCGGAACAGGAAGTAAGAGGAAATCTCCAACAGTGACACATAGAGAAGTAAAAATGTAATAGGGGAAAGCTAGAACCTGTGTCATCTTTTCATTGCTCTCAGTGTCTCCATTCTATCTGGGTGACAATGTTGTCCTTGGGAAAGGAAGTCAGGAGACCGCTCTCCAAAGAGGTCTTCCCTACTCCATCCTGTCTGTTCTTTTGCTTAATGTGTCACCGGAACAGGAAGTAAGAGGAAATCTCCAACAGTGACACATAGAGAAGTAAAAGTGTAGTAGGGGAAAGCTAGAACCTGTGTCATCTTTTCATTGCTCTCGGTGTCTCCATTCTATCTGGGTGACAATGTTGTCCTTGGGAAAGGAGGTCAAGAGAACTCTCTCCAAAGAGGTCTTCCCTACTCCATCCAGTTTTGAATTACACGTTATGTCTTTTATAGGAAACCTATACTGACAGAAATATATTTATTATTATTTATTTCAGGTACTTATATAGCGCCATCAATGTACGCAGCACTTTACATATATATTGTACATTCACATCAGTCCCTAACCCTCAAGGGGCGTACAATCTAAGGTCCCTAACCCTCAAGGGGTGTACAATCTAAGGTCCCTAACTCACATTCATACATACACATACTAGGGACAATTTAGACAGGAGCCAATTCACCTACCAGCATGTCTTTGGAGTGTGGGAGGAAACCGGAGTGCCTGGAGGAAACCCACATAGGCACAGGGAAAACATGCAAACTCCAAGCAGAAATATAATTATTATTATTTATTACAGGCGCTTGTATAGCGCCATCAATTTATGCAGCGCTTTAGATAAATATTGTACATTTCCATCAGTCCCTAACCCTCAAGGGGTGTACAATCTAAGGTCCCTAACTCACATTCATACATACACATACTAGGGACAATTTAGACAGGAGCCAATTCACCTACCAGCATGTCTTTGGAGTGTGGGGGGGAAAACCGGAGTACCTGGAGGAAACCCACGCAGGCACAGGGAGAACATGCAAACTCCAAGCAGGTGGTGCCATGGTTGGGATTCGAACCAACGACCCGAGTACTGCTAGGCGGAAGTGCTAAACCACTTAGCCACTGTGCTGCCCCAGGCTACTATTGCCTATGTGGGCACAGTAAAAACGCGCAAGTGGTGTGCCCGGGATAGAGCCGGGCTGAGACGCTTTTTGTCTATAACTGGGCTTTTGTTGGTGTGAGGCTCCTGGACCTTTTCATTGTTTCAGCTACTGCTATTGCTGATCTTTTGAAAATACTATTTGCCTGGCTGTCTCACTTTAGCTTCCATACTGTCAGACTCACCCAAGCCAGGTCAGAGTACAGTCAGAACACCCGACATGCATATTTTTCTCAGGGTCAGTGATTGTCATCATTGGGGCTAGTGGACCAGTATAACAGCCAGGCAACTTGTATAGGAAACCTCCATTATGTCAGAACAGGTTTCCTTTACAGCTGAGCTCTAGAAAAACCAATATGATCTAAATACAAGCAGAATGTGTATTCCTATATAAATCTTGCTGCTAAATCCCGTGTGAAACTTGGCTTCTGTCCAAGAGATTCCTATCATAAAAACTGCTTGCTGCTGCGCTCTCTCCTTGTGCAGATTGACTGGTCCTGACTCCGCCCTCTCCTGTAATCTGCCTAAAGTGGGTGGGGCTTGCTCTGCTATCTGCACAGGCTATGTACAGCACAGTGATGACATCACTGCTACTTTTACAAAGCAATAACTGTGTTTGCCAAGTCTTTTTGCCATTGGTCATTACACCCTTTGTGCCTGTTGAGCAATATTTATACATGGAGGGTTTGTGCACGAAGTTCAGCTGTAACTTACACTCTTGAAGCCTTGTGCCATCTCCTTAGCTGCTGCCGCAAGTGCAGCTTTAGTCTTAGCATTGATGCCTTCAGGTGCAATAACAACCATTTTGCGCTGTTTGGACGGCAGCTGGGACAGAACTTCTGACTTCAGCCTTCTGACCATTATGGACTCCTCCAGCAGAAGCTTTAATTCTCCCAGGTTGCAGGACCCCGAGTAATCCCATCCCCACGGCATCTGAAAAAGAAAACAGTTAAAGTGCTACTAACCCCCGGACCCCGCAATCACTATATCTGGTCTCCCCGGACCCCGCATTCTCTATATATCTGCTCTCCCCGGACCCCGCATTCACTATATCCGCTCTCCCCCGGACCCCGCATTCACTATATCCGCTCTCCCCGGACCCTGCATTCACTATATCCGCTCTCCCCGGACCCCGCATTCACTATATCCGCTCTCCCCGGACCCTGCATTCACTATATCCGCTCTCCCCGGACCCTGCATTCACTATATCCGCTCTCCCCGGACCCCGCATTCACTATATCTGGTCTCCCCGGACCCCGCATTCACTATATCCGCTCTCCCCGGACCCCGCATTCACGATATCCGGTCTCCCTGGACCCCACATTCACTATATCCGCTCTCTCCGGACCCTGCATTCACTATATCCGCTCTCCCCAGACCCTGCATTCACTATATCCGCTCTCCCCGGACCCTGCATTCACTATATCCGCTCTCCCCGGACCCCGCATTCACGATATCCGGTCTCCCCGGACCCTGCATTCACGATATCCGGTCTCCCCAGACCCTGCATTCACAATATCCAGTCTCCCCAGACCCTGCATTCACTATATCCGCTCTCCTCAGACCCAGAATTCATTATATCCGGTCTCCCTGAACCCTGCATTCACTATATCTGGTCCCCCGGACCCTGCATTCACTATATCTGGTCTCCCTGGACCCTGCATTCACTATATCTGGTCTCCCTGGACCCTGCATTCACTATACCTGGTCTCCCCGGACCCTATATTCCCTATATCTGGTCTCCCCGGACCCTGCATTCACTATACCTGGTCTCCCCGGACCCTATATTCACTATATCCGCTGTCCCCGGACCCTGCATTCACTATATCATTCACTATATCCGCTCTCCCCGGACCCTGCATTCACTATATCTGGTCTCCCCGAACCCTGCATTCACTATATCTGGTCTCCCGGACCCTGCATTCACTATATCCGGTCTCCCACAGTACACACAACACCGAAATGCAATTATTTTAGGAAATATAAACTGCTAAATACCTTTTGTCATCAGCAGTTAGAGCAGTCTTGTGACTTCTATCAGTGTTCAGCAGAGCACATGTTAAAACTCTGTTAAACCGCCACTTCATGTATGGACCTACACCTGCATATAACACAAGTGTTTTCTTCTAGGCTCCTGGTTGTATCGATAGCGGCTTTGAGGAGTGAGAAACGGAGGTTCCCTATTGGTTGAATTATAGGCTATTAATCAAGCGGCCTTCTTTTGGGTGCACGATGTTGGAGGACCTTGCACAGGAGAGGAGCCTTTTTATCGGATCTAGCACTGTCTGGAATTGTTTCACTGGAGAGATTTTTAATAAGACTTTTGTTAGATTACTGCACTTGGCACTTTAAAGAGCACTTTTTATGTATTAACCCCTTGACCTCCAGAGGATTTACCCCCCTTAATGACCACGCCTCTTTTTGCTACTCGGCGCTGCACTAATTCAACTGATAATTGCGCGGGTCATGCAATGCTGCACCCAAACCAAATTTATGTCCTTTTTTTCCACACAAATAGAGCTTTCTTTCAATGTAATTTGATCACCTGTGCGCTTTTTATTTTTCACGCTATAAACAAAAAAAGGCCAAAAATTTTGAAAAAAAACAATATTTACTTTCAGCTATAAAAAATATATAGTAAACGCAAAGTTGGTTATAAATTTAGGCCAAAATGTATTCTGCTCCATGTTTTTGGTAAAAAAAATCCCAATAAGTGTATATTGATTGCTTTGTGTGGAAGTTATAGCGTCTACAAACTATGGTATAGATACTGCAATTTACGCCATTTTTCTGCTATACAGCACTGCGCTAGTTTAACGGACAATTGCGCGGTCATGCAATACGGTACATAAATGAAATTTACATCTTTTTCTTCCCCACAAATTTCTTTCGGTGGTATTTGATCGCCTGTGCGGTTTTTATTTTTTGCGCTATAAAAAAAAAGGCTGACTATTTTGAGGGAAAAAAAAACAATATTTTGGACTTTTTGCTATAAAACATGTCCAGTAAAAAAAAATGCAAAAATCAAATTTAGTCATAAATTTCTGCCAAAATGCATTCTGTGACATGTCTTTGCTAAAAAAAAAACCCAATACGTGTAAATTAATGGGTTTACGTGAAAGTTATAGCGTTTACAAATGGCGGGAAAGATACTGGGATTTTTAATTTTTATTTATACTAATAATGGCGCCGATCAGCAACATATGGCGGCAATCAGCGACTTATGGCGGGACTGCGGCGGACATTTTGACACTGGGGGGAACTGACTTGGGGTCACTGACATCCCCAGTGACACCAATACAGTGATCACTGAAAAAAAAACCACTGAAACTGTACTAATGTCACTGAGGAGGAAGGGGTTAACATTTTTAGAATTTGTTGTGTAAGGGGAGTGTTTTACTAGGGGGCGGGGGTGTGTACTGGAGGGGGGGGGGGGGAGGGAGGGGGGAGCTGATCAAGAGAGAGAAACTCTTCTCTCCCTCTGCAGCTTGTTGGCGAACTGTCACAGAGCAGGGCTGTGTGTAAACAATGCAGCCCTGCTGTGTCAGTGATCACCGCTCATCGCGGGAAAACAGCCGGTAAAAAACGGCCGTGACCCGGCGCCGGAGACCCGCTGCTGACACCCGCGGGACAGGTAGGGTGCGCGCACGCCCCCTACCTGTTTTGAAGGCAGCCGTTTTAAAACATGCTTTTGCCTACGAGCGCCACCCTGCCGCCGTTTATATGCGGTGGCTGGGCGGCAAGTGGTTAATATTTATTTATTGACTTTAGTTATTACACATTCACATTTATAATTTTGATATACAGTTTGACATATTTAGACTTTGGGTTTGGCACTTCCCTCTAAGTGCAAGCGGCTCCAACTCTAGCGCTCACCACTTGCGCCTGACTTTTCGTACATTACTACTCACCTGTTTGGCATCACAATAGCGAAGACCAAAGTCATGGAAGCGCGGAAAGAAGTTGGGTCTGACAGCTGCGATCTGTGTGTACAGTTCTGCAGGTCTGGACATGGCGGGAGTGCCAGACAACAGGATGACTCTCTTTGCACTCTGCAGACAAAACAAAATAATATATAAAATGCAGCAATGGTCCAATACAGTGAAGGAAATGCGTATTTGCCCCCCTGCTGATTTTGAATGTTTGCCCCTCACAAAGAAATGATCGGTCTACAAATCGAATGTTCGGTGTATTGTAACACAGAGACAGAATACAACAACAAATTCAGCAGAAATGAATGTCTAACAAATGATGACTGATCTGCATGTTCATGAGTGGGGATTGGATCATTAATCCCCACTCATTTTAACCACTTCCAGTCCGGACACTTTCCCCCCCTTCCAGTCCAGACGCTTTCCCCCCCTTCCAGTCCGGACTCTTTCCCCCCCTTCCAGTCCGGACACTTTCCCCCCTTTCCAGTCCGGACTCTTTCACCCCCTTCCAGTCCGGACACTTTTCCCCCCCTTCCAGTCCGGACACTTTCCCCCCCTTCCAGTCCAGACTCTTTCACCCCCTTCCAGTCCGGACACTTCCCCCCCTTCCAGTCCGGACACTTTCCCCCCCTTCCAGTCCGGACTCTTTCACCCCCTTCCAAGTCCGGACACTTCCCCCCCTTCCAGTCCGGACACTTTCACCCCCTTCCTGTCCAGGCCACTTTTCAGCTTTCAGCGCTGTCGCACTTTGAGTGACAATTGCGCGGTCATGCAACACTGTACCCATATGAATTTTTTAGCATTTTTTTGAGACAGATAAAGCTTTATTTTGGTGGTATTTATTCACCGCTGGGATTTTTATTTTTCTGCTATGTAAATTAAAATATCCCAAAATTTTGAAAAGTGTTTTTCTTATAAAATTTTGCAAATAAATAATATTTCATCATAAATCTTGGCCAAAATGTATTCTGTTATCTTTTTAGTAAAAAAAAAAAAATAACCCAAATTAGTTTATAACCAAAAATTATAGTTTTTAAACTTTTTTTTAAATTTTTATTATTTACGGGGTTTTTTTTGTACATACTGTCACCCTATCAGTACAGTGTCACCATAAAGGCTGTAAAAGCAATCATTTCTCCTTCTCTCTGGCTGCATTCTTGCAGCCATTGAGAACTACTGTGTGTGAGCTGTGATTGGTCACAGCTTGTCACATGGTACAAGGCTGTTGTGAATAGCCCTGTACCATGTGACCTCTGTGATCATTCACAGATTTCACACGTAGTAAGCAATGGTGTCACAAGTGACATCTTGCTTACTACTCTGCATGTGATCACTGATTGGCCAATTGGTACAGAGGTCCCGTCCGACGATCGGTGTTCCACTGTTTGGAGGACACAGCGGGCACCGGATTGCGGTGCTGCGCGCTCCCAGGGAGCGCGCACAAGCAGGGTATGGGGAGGCCGTTTATAAACGGCCACCCGACTCTGCACTGCCACCATCCAGCCATTTATATACAACGGCCGGACGGGAGGTGGTTAAACCACAGGACACAGTGGGCACCAGATCGCGGTGCTGCGCGCTCCCAGGGACAGCGCAAAAAGGGGGGGGGGGGGGCCGTTTATAAACGGCCACCCGACCCTGCACTGCCACCGTCTGGCCGTTTATATACAAGGGCTGGACGGGAAGTGGTTAAATCCGCCTTCATCTGTTTTTGGTTCATTTACATCCACTGACATCTGTTTTTCGTCCGTTCCAGGTTATTTTGCGGAAGAAAAATAGGGATTTCTTCCATTAAAAAAAAAACGGATGTTAACGGATGCAGACATTAACGGATGTAAAAAGATGTTCATCCGTTTACATCTGCAAGTCCACAGAAATACATGGGCGTCTGTTTTTCATCCGTTAACGGACAGATGAAAAACGGACATACGGAACGGAAGTGTGAAAGAGGCCTTATTGAACAAGGTGAAGTGAGAAGCTGATTGGCTGCCATGCTCTGCTCAGCTGCACCAGATTCTGAGTGCACTAGTTTTAGTAAATCTTCCCCATTCAGTTTCCAAAAACCTTTGTGTGTGAAGGTGATGTTGTACCTTGAGCAGAGGCATTGCGGACTTACACCGCGCTGTCTTCACGTTCTTCAGGAAATGGGATTCATCCTTGTGACAAAGCAAAGAGAAGATCCACCATTAGTGTGTTCATTCACAGATCTGAATATGTTTCCATTACAAACAAATCTCCAGCTCCTGCTGGTCACATCTCTAGGGGCTCTATGTCATTTCAACAGCCAGGCCAAACATGGATCGCTATTCAGGCGAGACCATGTAACCAGGGGCGGACTGACCATTTGGAAACTCGGGCACTGCCCGAGGGCCCGGGGTCAGTAGGGGGCCCCATGAGATGCCCCTGGTACCTTTTTCATAGGCTTTTTTGAGTTTGGGCAAGGACACAGGGGCCCCATGATCCCCTATTGCCCGGGGGCCCCATGAGTTGTCAGTCCGCCCCTGCATGTAACCAATCCAGTATCTGCGCTTTTTATTATAGGACCAGCACTGAAAGGAGTATTCAGCGGTATTTTCTCCAGGTACAGCAGGCCATAGATGGTTCAAATCTCGGCCGGTTCAGCAGGGAGTGGCTGAGATTCGAACAATGTATGAGCAGGCTGAATGTATCCAAACTGATCGATCAACTTGGATACATCCAGCCTGTCGGATTTTACATGAAATTATCACTAGCGGCTAGCAGTAATCGCTGTGTTCTCCTGGCGGGGATGGTTCCCTCCACTGGAAGAACACAATGGATCCGTGGGAGGGTTCCACCATCAACACTTTCCTGTTTGCAAGAAAGAAAATTGCTCCATCTATGGCCGGCTTAAGTTAAAACTGAACTCCAGGCAGACAGCTAAATACCCAGATGAACTGCATATATGGAAGCTGTTTTACCTTCTGATTTATATTTCTGTTCATCCAGTTTGAGTTTTACACAGCTCTGTCACACAGCACAGTCCTGTTTGACAGGGCAGGAGGCCTGATTTGATTAGTTCCTGCCCTAGTCTGTGATTGGACAGTGAAGGAGAAGCAAGAAAGAAACGATTGATACGCTCACCTCTGTCGTTTGGCTTTCTACTCATTTTGCCATGTCCCTTGTTAGCATATGAGCACTTCAGCACACCTGATTGGCTCTTTTTACTGATTCTCTCCCCAGTCTGAGTTCTGCTGTACAAGGGACTGCAGAGGGCTGATACAGGCTCAGATTCAGTCGCATACACTGGTAGAATAAAGTAATGAACTGATAATGTATTAGTGAATACAGCACAGCATTCATTTGTACCTTTTATATCTACATGGAGTTTACCCTGAAAGTGATTGCAAACCCATTATTTTTTAAATAACATACTTACCTGCAATACCAGCATCCTCCTCTTCCCGACCTGCACTCCTCGCTCCTCCGCTCTGCCAAGTGCCTCCATAGCAAGCCGTTTGCTATGGGGGCACTCAACTGTGCTCGCTCCCGAGCCCCGCTCTGTGTGCTCGCTCCCGTCACTCGCTCCCTCTTCACTGGCTGTGATTGACAGTAGTGGGAGCCAATGGCTCTCACTGTGGTCTCTGAAAAAACAGGGGGGGTGCCAGACTAAGTGCAGCATTAAAGCGGAGCTTCACCCTAAAGGGGAAGTTCTGCTTTAAGGACTGCTCCCCCGCTCCCCATTAAGGATTGGCACCTTTGGGAGGCGGGGGGGGGGGGGGGAGCGGGTACACGAATTTGACAGGTACCCGCTCCCACTTCCGGTCCAATCGCCTAGGTCAGGGGTAGGCAACCTACGGCTCTCCAGCTGTTGCAGGACTACAAGTTCCATCATGCCTCTGCAAGTCATAGCTGTAACTGTCGGTTTTGTAATGTTGCAATGCCTCATGGGAAATGTAGTTCCAAAACAGCTAGAGAGTCGCAGGTTGCCTACCCCTGGCCTAGGCGATCGGAAGCGGAAGGTGTCCTCCCTTCCTCCCTGTAGTCTTTTGGGATACATGACAGGTCCCAGAAGACTACAAGACCATTCATGAAGCGCAGCGCTACTCGCGCATGCGCAGTGGGTACCTGGGTGTGAAGCCGCAAGCTGTCACAGCCGGGTGCCCACACTGAAGATGCCGGCCTCCTGGAATACAGGACGGCCGGTGAAACGGGCTGCGGGGGACACACCACGGGACCGAGGGACAGGTAAGTGGCTGATTTTTAAAAGTCAGCAGCTACAGTTTTTGTAGCTGCTGACTTTTATTTTTTGACAGCGTGAGTGGAACTCCACTTTGAAAACACCTCCATTTATTAGAATTAGCAACTCACATATAGATGAAGGTAAACAAGCGTCAAATATTCCACGGCTGATTGTAAACAGTCTCTGGTATAGGGCTTGGACTGTGATCAGTAGGCAGGATAAAAAAGAAATGGAAAGAACTATCTGGACAGGGGAAACTTACTGGGTAGGGAGGGATAAGGGGGATGGAATGGGGGTTAAATATGTTTAGTCGGACTGTTCATATTTTGATAAATTGCATACCGATCTTTCATGTATTGAAATAAAATGTAATAAAGATATTAATTAAAAGATAAAAAAAAACCAGAGGGCCAATCAGCGCTGTCCAGACAGAGGGTCAGGGGTTATGCAGCCTCATAGGACAATCAGGAGAGGATTAAAACACCTCCTACCAGCTCTAACCAGTGCTCTGCTGGACACTTATAGAAGTCACAAGACTGCTATATACTGCTGAAGAGAAAAAGGTATTTAGCAGTTTATATTTACTAAAATAATTGCATTTCATGTTGTGTGTACTGTGGGAGACCGGATATAGTGAATGCAGGGTCCGGATATAGTGAATGGGTTCGGGGAGACCAGATATAGTGAATGCAGGGTCCGGGGGAGACCAGATATAGTGAATGCAGGTTCCGGGGACAGCGGATATAGTGAATGCAGGGTTCGGGGAGAGCGGATATAGTGAATGCAGGGTCGGGGAGACCAGATATAGTGAATGCAGGGTCCGGGGAGAGCGGATATAGTGAATGTAGGGTCCGGGGAGACCAGATATAGTGAATGCAGGGTCCGGGGAGAGCGGATATAGTGAATGCAGGGTCCGGGGAGACCAGATATAGTGAATGCAGGGTGTGGGGAAAGCAGATATAGTGAATGCAGGGTGTGGGGAGAGTGGATATAGTGAATGCAGGGTCCGGGGAGAGGGATATAGTGAATGCAGGGTCCGGGGAGAGCTGATATAGTGAATGCAGGGTCCAGGGAGAGCTGATATAGTGAATGCAGGGTCCGGGGAGAGCGGATATAGTGAATGCAGAGTCCGGGGAGACCGGATATAGTGAATGCAGGGTCCGGGGAGACCAGATATAGTGAATGCAGGGTCCATGGAGACCAGATATAGTGAATGCAGGGTCCGGGGAGAGCGGATATAGTGAATGCAGGGTCTGGGGAGACCGGATATAGTGAATGTATGGTCCGGGGAGACCGGATATAGTGAATGCAGGGTCCGGGGAGACCAGATATAGTGAATGCAGGGTCCGGGGAGACCAGATATAGTGAATGCAGGGTCCGGGGAGAGCGGATACAGTGAATGCAGGGTCGGGGGAGACCAGATATAGTGAATGCAGGGTGTGGGGAAAGCAGATATAGTGAATGCAGGTGTAAGGGGAGCGGATATAGTGAATGTGGTGTCTGGGGGAGAGCGGATATAGTGAATGCAGGGTCCGGGGAGAGTGGATATAGTGAATGCAGGGTCCGGGGAGAGCGGATATAGTGAATGCAGGGTCCGGGGAGAGCGGATATAGTGAATGCGGGATCCGGGGAGAGTGGATATAGTGAATGCAGGGTCCGGGGAGAGCGGATATAGTGAATGCAGGTATCTGGGGAGAGCGGATATAGTGAATGCGGGGTGTCTGGGGAGAGCGGATATAGTGAATGTGGTATCTGGGGAGAGCGGATATAGTGAATGTGGTGTCTGGGGAGAGCGGATATAGTGACTGCAGGGTCCAGGGTTTAGTAACACTTTAATTTGTGTCTTTTATAACTGCCTGGAGTTCACCTTTAAGTAGTTCACCAAATTCCAGTCTAAACAACAGAGACAGGCATGCAGGGGTTGCGTTCCCCGAAAACAGCTTCCCACCAGTACCAGATCCTGCCAATCAAACTATTGGCTCCGCCTCTTCACTTGACACACTTACGATAATAATGACTTTGAAGTTAGCAGTGATGTGTTTGTCCATCTTCCCGAGAAGGTCATAGCTGACAATATTGACGAGGCTTGCTGATTGGCTGTCCCGCCCAGTCACGATGACATTGATGCTATCAGGTCTGACAGACGGCAGCCACCTGTGGAAAGCCTAAACATACAGATGAGATCTATTAGAACACAAACCACAATGTAACATCAATGAAGCAGAGGGTCTGCAATGAGCAACGAATGATGGAAAACCGTCGGCTGAGGGCAACTTCATCAATCGCATCAAGTCGGGCCTCGTTCACATGGGGCGATGACTTGCATGGCCTGTGTAGGTCCGTGATTTATTGGCATGAGGATGCAAGGTGTTGCGTACTTCCCTGTGCCGGCACTCCCACAGATGTCTATTGGGACATGATAAAGCCGCTGTGTCCCAATGTGACATCTGTGTGGGTGCAGATCACCGATACGCTATCACCAGACTATTCTTTTTCTAAACAAGCATCTCTCATACGATTATATGAGCATTTAATGTATTTTATTCATTTTATTTACCTGGAAAACCTTCCCTTGTGTAGACATCTAAAAGCCCCAAAAGTGTTGCTGGACACCGCCATCCTGGATGTGATGTCAGCAACTGCCACAGATTTAGAACTGTCACTTAAGTGACACTTTGTAGCAGGGGTCTCCAAAGTACGGCACACAAGGCCATTTTTTCCGGTCTTCAGACTCAATGCAGAGACAGTCTCTGTTCAAGCTTTGTCAGATTAGGGGACCTGCGCTGCATACTCACCCTGTGCCTGTATGTAGCCTAAGTCCCACAACCCTATAAAGCAGCGGTTCTCAACCTGTGGATCGAGAGCCCTTTGGGGGTCGAGCAACCCTTTCACAGGGGTCGCCTAAGACCATCGGAAAACACATATTTCCGATGTGCAAGGAGAAGCTTCTGTGTAAAAAGCAGCTGCTGTGTAGAAAGCAGCTACTCTGTTAAAAGCAGCTTCTATGTTGAAAGCAGCTACTGTGTAGAAAGCAGCTACTGTGTAGAAAGCAGCTACTGTGTAGAAAGCAGCTACTGTGTAGAAAGCAGCTACTGTGTAGAAAGCAGCTACTGTGTAGAAAGCAGCTACTCTGTTAAAAGCAGCTTCTATGTTGAAAGCAGCTGCTGTGTAGAAAGCAGCTACTGTGTAGAAAGCAGCTACTGTGTAGAAAGCAGCTGCTGTGTAGAAAGCAGCTGCTGTGTAGAAAGCAGCTGCTGTGTAGAAAGCAGCTACTGTGTAGAAAGCAGCTACTGTGTAGAAAGCAGCTACTGTGTAGAAAGCAGCTACTCTGTTAAAAGCAGCTACTGTGTAGAAAGCAGCAGCTACTGTGTAGAAAGAAGCTACTCTGTTAAAAGCAGCTACTGTGTTGAAAGCAGCTACTGTGTAGAAAGAAGCTACTGTGTTAAAAGCAGCTACTGTGTTGAAAGCAGCAGTATTGGAGGTAAAACGACACTCATGAATTATAATTACTGGGTAAATAATGTTATGGTTGGGGGTGGGTTGGGGGTCCCAAATAATGTTATACCAGTTGGGACGTCACCACAACATGAGGAACTTTAATAAAGGGTCGCGGCATTAGGAAGGTTGAGAACCACTGCCATAAAGCCTGCCCCTCTCGGCTCTTCGCTGTGTTGTTCGTTGCTAGAGCTGCCGGCGTCCTAACAACCAATTAAATTATTTCATTGCAGGCCTGCTCCAACACCCAACTTCCACCCCGCCATTTACATATGTGCATACAACATGTCTGTGTATAAGCTGGGTGGGAGCAGGGAAGAACAGCCAGTCTAATCACCGTTAAAGGCACACTGCACAGGTCAGGGACACTGATGTCAAAGGGAAATAAGAGGTGGACACATATATGCAGGGAGACTGATAGGCAAAAAATGGGCATGGGAGGGGGGAGGAGCTCTGATGCGGACACATTTTTGGGGGGCTCTGATGGGGACACCTGTGGGGGAGCCCTATTGGGGACACGTATTGGGGCTATGATGGAGAGATTTGTGTGGGAGCTCTGATGGGGACACACTTCTGGGGGAGCCCTGATGGGAACACCTGTGGGGGAGCCCTGATGGGAACACCTGTGGGGGAGCCCTGATGGGGACACGTGTTGGGACTATGATGGAGACATGTGTGGTGGCTCTGATGGGGACACGGGTGGGGGAGCCCTGATGGGGACACACCTGTGGGGGAGCCCTGATGGGGACACACCTGTGGGGGAGCCCTGATGGGGACACACCTGTGGGGGAGCCCTGATCGGGACACACCTGTGGGGGAGCCCTGATCGGGACACACCTGTGGGGGAGCCCTGATCGGGACACCTGTGGGGGAGCACTGATGGGAACACCTGTGGGGGAGCCCTGATGGGGACACCTGTGGAGGAGCCCTGATGGGGACACCTGTGGAGGAGCCCTGATGGGGACACCTGTGGAGGAGCCCTGATGGGGACACCTGTGGGGGAGCCCTGATGGGGACACCTGTGGAGGAGCCCTGATGGGGACACCTGTGGGGGAGCCCTGATGGGGAAACCTGTGGGGGAGCCCTGATGGGGACACAAGTATGGGGAATCTGATGGGGACACAAGTGTTGGGGTACCTGACGGGGACACCTGTGGGGGAGCCCTGATGGGAACACGTGTTGGGACTATGATGGAGACATGTGTGGTGGCTCTGATGGGGACACGTGTGATGGCTCTGATGGGGACACGTGTGGGGGAGCCCTGATGGGGACACGTGTAGGGAGGCCCTGATGGGAACACCTGTGGGGGAGCCCTGATGGAGACACCTGTGGGGGAGCCCTGATGGGAACACAAGTATGGGGAATCTGATGGGGACACAAGTGTTGGGGTTGTGCTGGATACATTTGTGTGTGGGCTCTGAAAGGGACACATGTGGGGGCACCCTGATGGGGACATGTGCTTGGGGCTTTCATGGGAACACAAGTTCGGGGGGGGGGGGGTGCTCTGATATAGACACCTACTTGTAAGAGACTCTGATGAGCGATGGGGACACAAATGTGCGGAGAGACTGACAGGGACAAAGATTTATGGGGAGACTCTGATGGGGACCAACTGTACTGCCTCTCAAATTCTATTCCGCTTCTTGTGGATTTATGAATAACTGATTTTTATTGGCCCACGAATGTGTGTAAAATATACGATATGGGTTTGCAGACCCCTGCTCTATAGTATACCCCATCACTAGGGGGGACGGGTGGAGGAGCTGGGCCAACACGTACAGCTACCGGAAGTGGAGAGGTCTATGACGTACAAGCAGGGCTGTGCAAGGGAATTGATTCTTCTTGAGGAAGCCTAATTTTCTAGCCAGAGGTACATTGCAAGTGAATTAAAAATTGTTTACGGAAAGGAAAGAAACTGCAGGTAAGCATTTAAAATACTTGTTTTCTGTGTGCTTTTCCTGCAATATTTTTACACTGGTGACGGATTCTCTTTAAATGTGAAGAAACACTCCTTTCATTGTTATAATATTTAATAATATATGTAAATAGGGCAGACATGTTTGCTCATTAGATACGTGGGTTCTGCTTCCTGTACAATGACTTACAGAGCCCATTATTAGGCTGTATCTGAAATACACACCAGCCCTTCTGGATGGCCCTAAAGAAATGATTTGCATAGCTCCTGCCATTATCCTGGAATGACCCACTTATTTCTGGGGATTGGAATGGAAATGAGACATGTACATGAAGACTGGTTTAATAAGGGTCTACCGGCCTCCAGCAGAACACCGATAGGCTGCTAATTATACTTGTCTGACATCCGGATGGCCACTAGAGGGAGATTCAACACCACATATATAATGTAAGACCTCGGTTTAAAAACGCCTCGGTTAACATCATTTTCAGTTTACAAATGAAAATCCATTCAAAATAATGCCTCGGTTTACTAATTTTAAAAAAAAAAATTTTTTTGCACTACGAAGTGTACATCGGTACCGATTTTTAAATGCAATTGCCGTTTTTTTTTCTTCATTATAGCTCACAGAATGACCGGTCACTTTCCCCGGAGCTAACTTTGTTTCTTTTAACCTCCCTAGTGATCTGATTATGTCAGTATTTCTGTGCTCAAAGCGGTACATTTTTTTGCATGGAAATATGTATTTTTTTTTTTTATTGTAGGCCTGTAATTTTTAGGAATAACTCGCTGAAATCTGTCCGAACAAGAGTCTAGTAAACATCCCGGGGAGGATAAAACTTGAAACACGAAATCATAAATTATAATATAATAAATAATCATAAAAAATAATAATATAATAATAAATTTAATTCAATAATATAATCAAACCAAAAACACTGAAATGTGAAATAGAGCGCCAAGTTCGCACATCGCTGAGCAAAGTCGCAGAATCGTTTTCAGTGTCTGATGAGGAATTTCCCCCACGAATCATTATCACTCAATTCTGCAAGTGGTTCTGATTTACTATCGCTGTTCTCTAGCCGGTCTAAAACCGCTTTTGACCTAAAGGGACGCTTTTTGGACGCCATGGACGTTTCTCAGTTTCCAGGCAGAAAGAACAGTAAAAATGCAGGCAGGGCGCCGGACAAAGCACTCGGGACAAAATGTATGTGAAATGGTTTGATACAGGAATGTTATACTATGTGATTTTAGTGTATTTAGTGAATGTCACTTTTTGTCATTTTCAAATTTCCCGCCAGTTCCGTCCCCCGTACGTCCCGACGTCGCAGGGAACGAAACCCGGAAGACAGATGCCGGCATCGGCCGGATTACATCGCCGGGGACACTGCAGGGGGGACATCGCGGGAGCGCAGGACAAGGTAAGTGAAGAAGAGATCCCGGAGCAACGCTGCAGTGTATTCCTGAGTGTAGTTCGGGGGGGTTACCGCTTGTGGTGCTGAAACTTTACCCCGAGCTACACTCAGGAATACCGTCAGGGGGGTTAAGAAACTAAAAGGAAACATTGTTTCTGGGAAATAAACTAAAAGAAAACTTTCTTTTAGCTGGGGGGGAAAGTGACAGCTGAATTTCTGAGCTATAGTGAAGAAAAAAAAAAGAAGAAGCGGTAATTACATTTAAAAGCCCGCACCATAATAAATAAAAAAACGGCGTGGGGTCCCTCCTCCTATCCATACCAATCCCTTTGGGCGTGGG